CACTTCTCGGGAACACAAGCTCTTCCCCTTCTAAATAGTCTTAACATGTAATTGTAAAATAAAACTTTCGCCGACTTGCTCCACCCAAAAAATCTTATGATGTTGAAGGTTTGGATAGATCTTGATTGCGCTTTGAGCAGTTGAAATGCTATTTTCTTTGAAGGAAAATTCCAATCAAAAAATTAAAGAACGAATACCTATAGATACAAACAGATTAGCAAGGAAATGTTCACAGAAAGGGAACAAGAATAAATTCGTGGATGTTGTTAGCCTTAGCGACTACAGAAGGGAACGCACACGGAGAGAAAGAAAGAAGTGCAAATGCCAATATTTCAGAAAGAAAGAACGTTGTTGCATTTTATGTGAACTGACACTGGCCAGCAACAGCATCACTAATCTCCATGGCTTTGCTTGTCGATGCAGCAAATGTGTAAAAGCCAAACACACTGACGAAGCACTAGAAAAACGACCTGAAACAAGTGGTCGTCGTCCTGATGATGTTGATAAGCTGATTTCTTAATAAAGCGTTGACCCGTGATGAGTTTGTTAGCGATTTGAGTAATTAAACACATACTATGCAAAAGCTATGGAATATGCGCAAAACTGCTTGATGAAATCACGTGCTGCGCGGATAAAGATGAATTTTAGCGGTGGGTAGAAAGGTGAAAGTATGAGATCAATGCCACATATTGTGATTCCAAGATAATAATCAGAATCTTTTTGGATGGGCCTAATCGTGACCTGTTCCAGTCTTGCAGCCGTTGGTAAACCGATTCTAAGCATAGGACTGATTCCGTTAGTGTCCTTTAAGGTTGTGGTGGGAAACTACCCACCTGAAATTTCCTTAGAATACACCTTCATACACGCCGCGAACAGCTGCACCCCTGGTGGTTGGTGTTGGGGTTGGGGTAAAGGTTTTTTCTGGCAGCTGGGTCTGGAGATGGGGTTTTCAGGCATTGGGACGGTAGTTGAGTCTGAAGAGTGTGATCAGGTATCGGGCTAGGAATTTGGGGGGTGGGCGGTGCCATAGAACCAAAAAAAGCAAAAGGGGTCCGAACTAATTGTGGCAGGCGTGCTCTCGTCGCAGCTGAGACTTCTGCTGGAATGTTAGAGCACGAGGGCTTGCACTTTGAGTAACGCACCAGGCTTTCAAGGAGACGCGCCACTCTGGAGACTCCTGGACAGTCGAAGCGTAAATAGAAAGCTTGCGGATCATGAGGATTGATACAGCAGGTTTGGAAACAAGACCTTCGAAGTGGCAAGAAGCAACATCAGGACAACTCGCACAACAAGCATTCCATGCTAGCAGAAAGGCCGGAGCCACTGCAATCTTGTGCAGACTTGTGAGAGCTGTTGTTAAGTGTCTGCCCCTGCCTCTTGTTCCCAGGAAGGCAGACCAGGCAGCGAGCCCTGAGAAGCAACAATAGCGCGGCATGTGTCGCCCATATGCTTTCAAGCGAAAGACTGCCCTGAACCCATGCCTCCTCGAACAGGCGGGTACCCACTTCAAGGATCCAGCGACCCACAGTCTCTCCATCCATGATGACCTCAAATATGTCCAAGCCAATGCTCTCTCTGATATCGCCTCATAATCTAGCATCGGAGCATCCAAGTCCAAGCAGTTTGCCCGCCTCTTTTCCACATAGCTCGACTCATTGCCCCATGATTCCCCTTTCCTCTCAGTTGCTTAGTCGATGTCCGTGGCCCTGACACATGTCATCCGCTGCTGGGTGGGGTTAACTGGCAGTTTTTTTGCATCCAGTTAAGTCCCAGGCCTCAAAGAGCCGGGGTGGCGACGGCTGATTCCTCCCAGCTGCACAACAGAGTGCTGACGTAAGAAGCATGCTGCAAAATGTCAAGGGCAGACAGAATCGTTAGCCCTCTTTGTCACTGCCAAAGTGGCATGCTCCTGTCCCCAGCTGCTGGTGCACCATAGGTGCGCGCAGAACCTTGGCCCCAGCCTGCAGGGAACTGCCTGCATTACTCCATGCAAGATTTTGTCTGGCAAGACAGACCTTCATAGATCGGTCCGGATTCATCATCCTGGTTGAAGAGCGACTCTGAGAAGGCATTGTAGGACAAATAGCCTCAGAGTTTTCAATGTCATGTAGGACCTTGCTCGCTGAAACATCCTTACCCGCCGCCACAATGCATAGCAATGAAAGACAAAGCAGTACTGTGAAATGCCCTGCGGCACATTGAAGCCAACGTTGACATCACGAGTGGGCTTGCCAGTAAGACAGCTGATTGGGTGTTATATTGCTGTCCCATCGACTTGTCAAAAAAGGGGTGCTCCGTGATTCTGGTTATAACAGTGACATTATCCTCTGTGCCCTGCACTGATGAGACTGAGGTTTCTCGACCACCAACAACGCTGACGAGGGCCAGCATATCAAAGAAGCATTGAAAGCTTGCCATGAGGCCCAGCATGAAGAGGCAATACATAGTCATATTCTTGCAAGCCTCTTGCACTAAATACACCACAAAGCCGGCCATAACCAGAAAGATGATACCAGCAAACGCATCTCCCGCTACAACCTGGGCCATAGCGAGGCCAATCAGCAGCAGCATCACCAGATACCAGCCATATATGTGCTTGGTTTTTACCACCTCCGGGATTGCTGGCGGAGGCTCAGCACTCAACGGAACTAACATGGGGCCACGGCGCCGCAACTCGCTACCGGATTAGTTAGAGAAGCGTGAATGTCCTGAGGAGCGGTTGCCTCAGGAAGGCTTTGGGCCAAAACACGACCGGGAGTCTTTTCTGATTTCAAGACTCTGCATGTGCTTGTGTGACAAAATCAAGGTCTCCGCCACTTGTGCAGTGCAAGCTTCTTTGAGAAAGCGACCACATCTTCAGAAACGTTCTCCGGCGCTAGAAAGGTGAAAGCCTCCACTGCTCCACAGTGCAGGAGTCATATCGTTAATGACATGGCACTCCTCACGTGAGAGCCGATCATTGGTGAATAGCTTTGCAACCTCATTGTGAGCAGCCCAGAAGAAATTCAAAGCCGCACTCTGCCTTGCAAGCTGGGATGCCAGCGTAGGCCACACCCTCTCTGGCAGATGGGTCCAGGATCTGACATGATCGCATTGGTACTGCACAGAGCTCTACTGATGCACGGATCTTGTGTCGTGAATCTGGTGTGAACATGTGTGAACGCTTATGCAGCCAGTCGAAAGCTCCCGAGGGCTGGGCAAATGACTTGAGCTCTGCTAGCTGTTGGTTCTGCGCAAGTGATGCCAAGCAAAAGCAGACTAGTTCCGCAAGCTCCTACGCAGTCGTTGCTTGGCCTGAGTGGCCAGGGAGGGATCGATCTCGTTCGGCAACACGACCCCACTCCTAAGTAAGCGTAAATGTGTTGCACACAAATCGAAACCAGGTCGGAGGAAAAGGCTTGCTGAGGGCTGATCACCGACGTGGGTCCCTTGTCTTTGGGCATGCTAGCTGACCTTGACCGCTGAGTGGCAGACTTGCTCCATTCCAGATGAGAAACAGAACTTCTTCTGCATCTGAGGAGTCCACGATTAAAGCATGATCCAACGCAGCTCCTCTGGCAGCGAGCCCATGGCTATGGGGCAGTGTTTGCCTGTAGCCGGACTTCTTGAGATAACAGCCTGTCACTCCTTTCACTTGTTTTTAGCTGGTCATTGCCTTCATGTTTCGTGAGCCAATTTGCAGAACTAGAATTGCGGCCATACATCATGGCAAGCTTAAGTGCCGCGAAAATGCAAAGGGAACTGTCAAAAAGCATGTAGTCTCAAAACCAGCACTTTTGTCCAGCTGATCGCTCATCTCATGGGGTATGAAAATTGATGCTGGCAGCACATGCTCGCAGCCGGCACCAATCATCGCTCTCTTCGCAGGCTGTGGCCATCTGCTGCTGGGGCCTGTTGCTTCTGAGTCTTAATGTAATCTCGAAATTCATCACAACAGTCCGTACGGCCGACAGAACAACTGGTGATCCGCTTCGGATTCCGCGCTTGGCTCTTGCAGCGGTTAAAATCGAAACTTTGCTTTGCGCCCTTCAGGCGCCAGCAGACCGGTCTGCAAGGGCATCAGCTTCACGCGCATACCTGAAGCGGACGGGAAGTTAGTAACTTAGTAGCCCACAAGGCCAAGACCAAAAGGAAATCTGTACTGATATTCATCAATGTGCTTGCTTCCCTTCACCAGGTTGTAGTTTGATGCCCTCGCACGGAGGTCCGGAAGCGCCTCCGCCACAAGACTGCAAGTTGCTGACGTCTTCAAACTCGTCATTTCTTGAGGTCGGACGCCAGTCGGAGTCCCGTGATTCAGGTACGCACCGCCTGAGTGAACATGACCGACCGCGAGCAGTTCCGCCAACAGCGAAGCTCAAACGTCTTCCGGGCTGCCACGCTGTCATCGACCAGGACAAAGCTGCTGAAGCTTGGTGGGGTCCACACCAGCTTGAAGGCAATTCGGGCCCTGGCACAGCACACAATTAACATCTTCCGCAAAAACTAAACAAAGTTGCTACAACATGGTGGGGCACCACAGCTTCATGGAGCAAGCTCCAGGCTAAAGACCAGAAGCAATGACATTTAGTGTACAAGACCTGAACCACGTAATCGTAGTCTGCCTGAACTGCACGTGTGCCACATCCTGATAACACATGCTGCCACAGCCAAGTCTACCATCAGCTCAACGGTACTTCCAGGTGTCCTGTGGCGGCTCCACATGGCAACCATTGGTGCATGTACCTGGCACTGCTTCCGGAAGTGTACCACGAAGATTTCCAGTCTGGTGATAAGCTGCTACTGGCAGGAGGCGTGCTCCAGGATCCACCAGGTCCCAGCTCGGGCAAACTGGCGACTTCAATGCCAGGGCCTGCAGATCCAGCAAAATCAAAATAAGGAGTTTCATGTTGTCACACATGTGTTCCGCTTTGGAATCTCCGCCCACGCCTAGTTTGTTGCCCATGGCAATTCCACGAATCTCGCCCTGATGGAGATTGTGCGCGACCTGCAGCGCACAGAGAACTAGACAAGGCTGGCCGTTCAGTGTTGGTGACCACAGGCACTATATAACTGAACCCAGACATCCTTTGGAGCCTACCCCGTCTGGAAGTGTACGTTGCAAGACTCTCATGCAAGAACACTCATGCACACTTTACAAAAGATGGGACAACCCTGAAGGCACACTTTGACCATGCAACTCCATCTTACATTTTTGAGCAAAATCCAAGGGGGCAATGTCTAGCTGTACAGCCCACATTTGGTGGCAGTGTTGAATCAGCAGGAAAAAGGCATGCAAACCACCTCATAGCATGACTCACAAGTGATGACACATCTTGATGCCGGAGGCTACCTTGCTTTGGGATCCCAGTATGTGACTTGCTCACCCCACAAGGGGCCTCTCCCAACATGGGCGTTAGATCGCAGTGGTTGTCATCATTAAAGGAGTGGCCTGCATGGTCAAGTCACCAAAGAAAAACATCAACTCAGCAAGTTGCAAGGCCCCTGCCTGTATAACCTTGTCCTGGCACACTGTGTGGAAGATCCTCCCACTTCTAACAAAACCATCCAAATCAAACCTTTGGCGTGACCGACCACAGCTGACGTCCTTCAGGCCCCCGGCCCATAAAATCTTTCGCCGCACCTCTGGGATATCATCAGCTGGAGAATACTTACTTTTTAGTGATGATATGATGACAAGCAATCAACTCGGGGATGGGCCTCCTCCCAATCTTTGCTCAGATCGTCTGGCGTGAGGCTCTTGACCCGCGCCTGATGCTCTGATTGAAGAACTGCCAAAATTTTTCGGTAGCTCTGTTGCACTGAATCGAGCCAACATTATAAAAGCGTGGGGCTGCCAGACAAAACGAGCATTGCCTGGATGTTCCGAAGACGCTCCACCGCAGTTCCAGGGTACTCCGGATCTACCTGCTGCAGCGCGTCGCCACAAAGAACATCAAACCTCACGTTCTGCGTGTTTATACCGTTGCAATTGGCTCATGTCATCATTTCATTGGGTAAAGTGCCTGTTTGATGCAACACCAGACGCAACACTCTGTCTGGCTTGGCATGTGCACTCCAATTTTGTTCAATACTCAGCAGTCCTCTCTGAATCTGTACAAACCCGATCTTTGGCAGCAAGCCTTTTCCTACCTGAAATTTGATGTGGTGAACCCTCCTGCCAGCGCTGACAGAGTTCTTCGCTGAACAAGAATGGGGATGTGCTCGCATGATCTCTCCAAGCTTTTTCGACGAAAAAATTGCCTCCATGGTGGGGGATATCTGGGAAAATGTTCGTGTCGGAGACGACGACGTGCTCAGTACCAGTGCAACTGTCAAGACCAACGAACCAAATCCAAAGAGCCGGCGTGCTCGCACCTCGGCGGCCATTGTCTTCTTGGCTTTTAATTGCTGTCGCATCCCGCATCAACGCAACCAGATTTGAGCTTGGTTCAAGCATCTTGCTGTGCAGGAAAAACACAAACTGCACAAAAACTGTACAATAACAAACACAATTTTGTAGCCCCGGCGCTCCGCTGTGAACGGGTCCCATCTGCGCTCGAATGGCGCTCCCTCAAAACTGCGAGCCATCAAAAACGGCAACGAACGATTTTTGCACCCATTCACTTCAAACACTCTACGAGCACACAGCAACTGCGCCTCCAGCATTGTACGGGGAATTTTTGGCGCAGCGCTGCACAAGCGCAAGGTTCTGGCCAACATGCCACGAGCCCGCCCCACTAGTCCTTTTGCTGGGGCCTTGAACAACAAATTGAAGGACCATGGGTTTACGCATTTGTAATCGCTGCGCTGAATCTGCTTTGCAGCATCGACCCTCAAATATGACGATCGCACGCTCAAAAATGTCGCGGTTTCAATTGAGTCCAAACAAAAATGGAGAGGATCATGTCGCACCATGTCGCACCCCTTTTCGTAGAGGGGGCCCTGAAAAACAACAATTGTCCAGGAACATCATTCAGAATCTGCTATTGCTTCGGAGGTTTGGAATAGTAAAAAAATTCTGGCGCCCAAATCCAGACATATCAAAATTGTTTACCTAAGTCAGGTTTGCCTTCACGGCCTTAAACCTATCCGGCCTAATACTACAAAACCCGAAAATCCGTAAATTCAGAGCAACCAGATCCATATAAACCGCTTGTTCAAAATTATTTTACATCATAGAATCCGTCAATGTCTGTGGCGGGTTAGTCCAGCAGAGCCCGGGATCCTTAACAAGGAAATGTTTCGGGGGTTCGGAATGCAGCCGCCCAGAATTTCCAGAAAATCTTAATAAGTTCTGCATAAATTTAAAAGGCCCGGGGCTTTCAACTATAGAGCCTGATATTAGCAAAGCTATGAGATCGTGAAAGCCAGACACGAGCATAGCTATGAATCCGTGAATTC